TTATCTGACGAAGCCGGGAAAATCGCGAATTCGCCGTCCGCGTTTCGTCGGCATTGTGTCGCCGGCATCGAAGCTCGAAGAAGGAAGATCGAACCGAAATTCCGCGGGCCGGGTTCCCGAAGAGACGGCCAACAATAGCATTAATGGCTTTTTGCTTTATTAGACGGTGAATGGGGCGGGCGTCTCGATTTCGGTTAAATTACCAAACTCCCACCGTGTCTGCCCGCTTGAACCTGTATGCAATATGAGCTTTGCCATTGTGTATTTACGTCAGGATTTCGCTAGTTTCTCTGTTGGGCGGATGTAAATACACACCGGCGGCGTCGCCGTGACGTAGTCATATCGCAAGGTTAGTTCGAGAACTGGCTTGAATGGGGCAGAAATGGTTCGAGGGCCGGGAAACAATAAGAGTACGACGAGCTGAAGACTCGGCTCGAAGAGATCGGCAAGGCTCGATTGCACACACGCGCGCGCGTACGTATCGTACGTTATCGCAAGATTCGATTAAATGCCCGCGTTATCCTCGATGACCCCAGGTAATCGACAAACTATTGTATTATCGATAGTTCACCTACGGTTAATAATGCTCGAAACTATACGCGCGCGAAGGGAGTTCCCGAACGAGTGGGTTAGAAACGTAGCGCGGCGTGAGTCACTATTTCCTCGTTGTTTATTAAACCGTGTATTGTTTGCTGGCTAATTAATTTAATATTGAGATAATTTAGGGTTAATTTTAATCCCCTGTCGTACTTCGACGAGTTCGATTCGCGATGGAAATTTTTAGAGTTAACTTATCGAGGTTGTTGTTATTCTAGGAATAATTTATTGGGGTTGTTGTTGTTCTAATAATAAGTTATTGAGATTATTATTATTCTAGGAATAATTTATTGAGGTATTATTATTCTAGTAACGACTTATTGACGTTATTATTATTCTAGTAATAAGTTATTGAGGTCATTGTTGTTCTAGTAATAATTTCTTGAGGTTATTATTAGTTTTGTAATAACTTAGTGAGGTTCTTATTATTCTAGTAATGACTTATTGACGTTCTTATTACTCTAGTAATGACTTATTGGGGTTATTATTATTCTAGTAATAACTTATCGAGGTTATTATTATTCTAGTATTAACTTATTGAATTTATTATTATTCTAGCAATAAGACTCACCACTTATAATTGTCACATAACATTTCAAAATAATGTTAACGTTGTTTGTCTTTGTTTGTCTTTGCTGTTTCTATTTTGTTTCTATTTTAAAAACTGTTAAAAGTGAAATTGTCGTCCGAGTCATAAAAGTCAATCTCGTATATACATATATATCACTTAAGTTATACAAAATGGAAATATTGTAAGTCAGAAAAACTATTTTCAATTCAAAGTTAAAATGGCTTCGAGTGCAAAGGGTTAATTGCATTTTAACCGCATTCAGACAAAAATATCCCGAATGCCTCCAGTCTAATTATTTCTCTAACTAGCACACTATTTATTTAACACGTTAAGCGCCGAAATCCAAAAATTCTCCACAAAATCGAAGTAATTTAATTAACGTCACACGGGGAAACGATAAAGTTAAAAATCACCACAGTGGATAGTATTTGACTTCTTTCGCATTCTAAACATTCCAGCAACATTCAATTTATTCGAATCCACTGCAATGAAAATAAATATTCAGAACTAATAAAAAAATCAGTGCCACCCCAATGTGAACGACGCGACACCGAACGAAGAACAATGGAACAATTTCCTCGACAAATTCCTTCCAAAAAATCGCCCCGAAAACCACCAACAGATTCGAAGCGCGCCGCTTCTAAAAAAAGCACATCTTAGCAGCCGTTTCGGCGAATCCCGTCGAACTTAAAAAGACGAGAACCCGCGCGAGGAGAATCCCTCAATTATCCCGCAAATTGGTCCTTCTCGTTACGAGGCTTTCGCGTCGCGTTACCCAGATACCGGTCGTACAATCGGTTCGCAACGACCCGCGGCCCGATTAACGCGAATCAAAGCGAACGCGAGCGAATCGAAGCGATCGCACGAGGGGGACAGGGGGTGCGGTGGTGCGTTCGTTAACGATGGACGGACGTAAACAAATTATATTGCGGCCTGGCGAGGCGAGGCGAGGCGAGGCGAGGCGAGGCCCGTGCTCGGCGGGCCGCGAGTGTGTTTTTCTGCACGGTCCCGAGGATCAACCGGGACCGGGGATTAAGTTCACAAAAGCGTTGTCTTATCAGGTTCCTTGCAGCCGTGTAATATTGCATTCACGGCCAAATTCATAATCAGATTACGGTGTACTATAGGTTAGAGTTTCAACTTTGCGCTTAATTAGCAGGCGATGAAGCCGGTTCGCCTCACAGTGTCCACGGGGTATCAGCCCCGATGTTTAACTTCTGCTTCATACAGAAAACCGAACTTTTTGCAATTAATTAATTCAAACAGCTTCGAAAATTTAATTAATTCGGCGCCGGATAGCTGGCCGGACAGCCAGGCCGAGCGGCCGCGTTGCATTGATCGGCCATGGCCGCGGCGGAGACGTTATTAAAATTCGCGGCAGATGTATGTACATCGAAACGGCGCCCAGAATGCGTTTGCGAAAGGAGATTGATGAATCTGCATGTGATTAGTGGGAAATTGAGCGGTTCGGACTGTTGCACGCTCTCTGCCGCCGACCGATTTTGCCTTTTATCGGCGAACGTTCCGCCGTCGTTCTTGTTTCAGAAATTGCGCGCGATACAAAATTATCGCTACGCTTTTAATTATGTCTCGATAAGATTCATGCGTAAGATACGCGTTAAGCTACTCTTCAGCGTTCCGTAAGCTGAACATTCCGTGCCTTGGTCTCTTTATTTTGCACTTGTTCGTGGTACAATAGCCAACATTGTCGCAGCATTGTCTTATTAACACGTTCCGCGTGTCACGTGTACCATCGATGGTACACGCTTGCATGTTTACTTAGTGAACTGAACAAATTGTTTACAAGAAATTTAGAACCGAAGAATCAATTTCCACCGCAAGAATGGGCGTTGATAAGTTTTTGTTACGTTGTTATGTGTACGAGAATTAATAATTGCACGTAATACATCAAGTTTTAGTAAAATATCAAAGTGTGAAGATTCGAGTAAAGAAAGCTCGGCACGGAACGTGTTAATTGGCCGCGGATTTTAAGCACTTTTATGACAAAAGCGTATAATTGAAATGTAAAATTGTGAACAGGTGTGAAGAATTTAGTATTTCAGTTCGTTCAAATTTTTAATCACGTTCTCAGTTCGTTAAAATGATTAGAAGGAACGATTTATTTCGATTAAATCGTTGTTCAAGTTTTAGCTTGTTTAGACCTCGTAAATCAAATCGAATGGAACTCTGAATGAACGGTAAACGGTACCTGTTACAACCATAGAAGACTAGAACTGCTTCACTTATCCTGTATCGAAACTCTCGCAGTGCAACTTCCGTGACCCATTTTCTAAACCAACCCCCGCTAACTTCGATACTTCTAGATGCTAATCCCACGCAGCTTCCAGAATCATGCCATCTCCGCGCACTCAATCCAATTAGCATCGGCAAGACATCAAGTTATCCGAGCAGACGCGTCAGAAGTAGACAGGATGCCGCCATGGAGCGGCCGATTTTAATTCCATTACCGGCAAATTCTAATCGGTAAACGTAGCCTAAATCTGTTAAAGAAGTTACCCGCTCCGGTTCGCGGTCATGGGTGCGGCTTCGCGCGATTTTTATGGAAATCGGCACGATTTTGTTGCGAGTATATCAAGCATTCTTCCGTTATTTCACTGCAATTAGACAATTTATCTTTATTCGTACAATTTGTATAATTTATTTTTAATTCTCTTTTATTCTGATCTTTAACTCTCGACCATAAGGCTGTGAAATTTCAGCTTGATACGGTTGTTCTTGTGTTTCTGGTCTTCTAGATTACAAATAGGAGTCATTCAATATGTTATTAAAAGAATTTATGTGATAACATATAGGACCTGAGATAAACAAAATAGTAAGAAAGGTAAATTATATTCGCTTAGCAATTTAAATAAAGATCTATCTATTTATCTATTCACATTTTAGCAATACGAAGACGATTCTAGCTGTTATAACAATGATTTGTACATTTTACAAGATATCCCACAATTACGTTAACGCTTGGATGAGGCGATTCCTCAGACAATTTCAAGTAACTTTTTCCTGAGCGAAAATGCAATCCGCGGCTCTGTTCTCGAGTTATTAGCGAAAAACGCTGACCAATGAGAAGCGAGCTCGCCCAACGCTAGGCGGCCGAGCCAATCAGCGGAACTGGGCTTCCACCGCTCGGTAGCTCGGCGCGCTTCGCGCCAGCCGAGCTCGCTTCTCATTGGTCGGTGTTTTTCGTCGATAACTCGTAAACGAAGCCACGGATTGCATTTTCGCAAAGGAAAAAGTTACTTCAAATGATCTCAGGTACCCCCTATTTCCAGCTAACATAATTATAGAACACTCTACATATTCTTGACCTCACAATCTAAATCTTCTGAAAGATAACAGAAAACAGTCAACGTTACCCAAACACATGCCGCATTTTCTCGACCTCATTCTTTCCTTCTTTCCGTCTAAATCGAACCTCTGCCGCTGCGGAGGTAGTCTTCTACGAAAGTCAGTCTTCTACGTTCAGTTAGCATTTTGGGGAAAGGGTAGCACCGCGCGAGTCTACCCAGCACGGCGTCTCAGGGTGCGTTAAGTTGACTCCCGCGCATAATTCTTGCAGGCTGCTTCCGAAACGGTCTAAGGCTTCGGTGTATGAACCGCTCCTAATACCTTCGCCAGTAATACCACCTATTCCTTGGCACAGAGAGAGAGAGAGAGAGAGAGAGAGAGAGAGAGAGAGGACGCGGCGGCGGGCATGGCTCGGGCCAGGGGGCCGTAGACTACTTTGGCTGTCATGGTGTTTGCGGGGGTAGAAGCTGGCGCGCCGCGGAAAGGTGTACCAGATAGGGTAGCAGCTCGGGCTGGGAGGAAGGGCTCGGGGCTCTGTGGGAACGGAAGAGGTTCGGAAGGGTAGCTCTTTGGTTGCCGACAGTGCCTACTTTGAAATTATACAGCGTTTATGCCCTTATTAATGCGAGTCCTAGCAGATACGGTTGGAGATTGAGGAGGTTGAGTTATGACTCAGCCCTGCTCGTTCCTTGGCCGCTTTTGAGCCGGCACCGCCATAATGCCCCGTGATTAATCCCTCGGGGCACGGCCGGCTGCCAGTACCGACGGCGCATCTCTCGCCACCTACGTTCTCTTCCCACCGCCGCCATCCCTCTTGCTCTCTCCGAGAGAGAGGCTCTCCCTCTTCCGCTCTACGGCTCTCTGATTCCCCATCTCTAGCTCTCCCTAGTTCTTTCTAGCTCTCTATCATCAGATCTCTCTAGCTTTCTCCATTTAGCTCTAGCTCTCTTTAGATTTCTTTAGATTTCTTTAGCTTTCTTTAGGTTTCTTTAGCTTTCTTTAGGTTTCTTTAGGTTTCTTTAGCTGTCTTTAGCTGTCTTTAACTCCTTGCTACTAGCTCTCTGTCACTAGATTGCTCTAGCTCGATTTCTAGCTACCTTCAGCTCACTGTCACTAGCTCCTTTTATTTCTCTTTAGCTTTCTTTAGCTTTCTTTAGCTTCCTTTAGCTCTCTTTCAACTGTCTCTAACTCTCTTTTAGCTGTATCTAGCTCTCTATAACTTTCTATAGTTCTCTATAGCTCTCTATAGTTCTCTATAACTCTCTATAGTTCCCTCTAGCTCTCTAGAGCTCTCCATAGCTCTCTTTAGCTCTCTATAGCTCTCTATAGCTGTCTATAGTTTTTTCTATAGCTCTCTTTAGCTCTCTATAGCTCTCTTTAACTCTCTATAGCTCTCTTTAGCTCTACATAGCTCTCTATAGTTCTCTCTAGCTCTCTAGAGCTCTCTATAGCTTTCTATAGTTCTCTATAGCTCTGTATAGTTCCCTCTAGTTCTCTCCATAGCTCTCTTTAGCTCTCTATAGCTCTCCATAACTCCCTATAGTTCTCTCTAGCTCTCTATAGCTCCCTTTAGCTCTCTATGGCTCTCTATAGCTCTCTATAGCCCTCTTTAGCTCCCTTTAGCTCTTTCTAACAAAGAATGCAGCTCGACATTTGTTATAAAAATGTATTAAGCTATTTATGTAGAAAAATTAATAGTTTGGGAAATATTGGCTCCCTATAGCTCTCTCTAGCTACCTTTTGCACTCTCTAGCTCTCCGTTTCTCTCTCTCTAGCTATCTCCAGCTATCGGGTTCTCTGTCTTTCTCTTGGTAGTTCTCTGTAGCTCTCTGTAGCTCTCTTTCTCTCTCTCTCTCTCTCTTTTTCTGTCTTTCTCCGTCTTTTTCTCTTCATTTCTCTCTGTCTTTCTCTCTCCATCTCTCTATCTGTCTCTCGCTCTCTCTCTCCATCTCTCTCTCTCTCTCTCTCTCTCTCTCTCTCTCTCTCTCT